CAGGGTAATATTGTAATTGTTTTTGTTTGTTTTCCCTTGCATGTCTATTACTACTAGTACCATCATAAATTTCATATACTTAACAATAAATAACTTTTATAGTCAAACTGGTGGTAACCAGGTGAATGTTTCTTTCTCTGCTTCCCCTTCTCCACTTGCTCTGCAGGAACGCTTCTTTTACCTAAGCCAAAGATCCCTGTGAAGCCCAGAAATACTGTGTGGTCTGCTCATCAAGAAGCTACCAGTACTAGGACAGTAAGGGCAAAAGCTTGGGAGGTGCTGAGTTTGAGACACGTAAGGGGATCAGCTTGTATAGGCTTATTGACCCAGTTTGGTTCAGATGTGCCCTAATGAACTGAATGCTGGCCCATGAGGGTGTCAGCTGGACACCTAGCCTGATTCAGAGGTATTCTGTTTACCTGTGTGCTTGTGTCTGACTCTGTTTTATTGTTACCTTAATGAACTGGTTCCTGGCATACAAGGGTGTCAGCCTGTACATGTTGATCAACCTGGCTGGGTCAGGCGTCTCACGTTAATCAGTGTGTGTATGTATTCGACTGATTTGGTGGCTGGAGGAACCCAGCTCCACTGAAACTGAGTCCTGCATGATAGCTCCATTGGGGGTGAGGACTTGCAGAAGGGAGAGATACAGCTCCATGTAGAAACACAAGTAACACAAGCAGCACATTAACAGAATTACAAAGATCCCAGAAACGTACCCCTAATAAATGAGCGCACCCCAAAGTGATGGGCAAATCTGGTAACACTGTATACCTCCTGCATTAGGTGGAGGTCCTGTATGCAGGTTAAGAACCTACATGAGGAGTTAGATCTGTCTGACTGCTCCCAGCAGATGTCAGGTTAGTTTAGGTCACCCATGACAGCCATGTCCCTTGACCATAAGGCCTCTGAGAGCTGCCTTGAGAATTCCAGGTCCCACTCATCCTCCCAGTGTGGCAGTCTGTAGTAAACCCGCACTACCAAGTCCCTTTCCCCCTGATCCCCTTGTATTCTAACCCACAGTACCTCACAATTTGTCCCTCCTCTGATCCCATCTTGATTATAGATGTGTATTGTTCCTTAACATAGAGAGCAACACCCCCTCCCCCCTTTTTCCCCGCTCTGTCACATCTGTACAACTTATAGCCCTCAATGCTTACTGCCCAATTGCGAGTAGGGTCTGACCAGGTTTCAGTTAGCCCAAGTAGGTTGAAGTTATTGCTTGCAAGCAGGAGTCCGAGTTCCTCCTGCTTGTTCCCCATGCTCCCAGCATTAGAGACATTTAAGGCCCACAATGGGTGCCCTTGGTACCCCACTGTCCTGATGCCTATGGGTTCCTTAGTACTTACCTGGGCTGATTCAGCACATGGCTTGTGGATCACTGATCCTAGCTTCTCTTTGTCCTCTGCATCCCCCTCCCCCAACAAACCTAGTTTAAAGCCCTACATAGGAGATCAGCCAACCTGTAAGAAAACACTTACTTTTTGAAGAGAGATGAAGACCATCATATCCCAGGATGCCCCTTTCACGGAAGTGCAGACTGTGGTCGAAGAAGCCAACACCCACACAATGGCACCAACTCTGGAGCCACAGGTTGACTTCTCTGATGCAGGCATCTTGATGTTGATGGCTACTGCTGACTGAAAGGATTGATCAGAAGACCACCTGTGCCCCCAACTTCCTAAGCCTGGCCCCCAGAGCCCTGTAGTCACTCATGATACGGTCCGGACTACTCCTGGCCGCATCATTTGTGCCCACATGGATGAGGACCATGGGATAGTAGTCGGAGGGCCTCTCTTGTTCCTGACTGCTTTTATTTTTTAGGCCCTCTTTAGCTTCAGTCTGACTACTACTACTGCATACAAGAAATTATACAAATCTTTGTATGATCAAAGTGCCTTAGACTGTAAGAACAGGGGAGGCAGGGACCTTGTCTATTTCAGTACATCTCTGTACAGTGCCTAGATGTACAAGACATATGGTATTGTTTACTATTTTAAACAAAGATAAATCCCACTTGCATTATAGCAAAACCAAAATGATTTATTACTTGGCTTTTTTACAAATGCATTTACTTGCTTAGTTGGAATATATATACTATTTGCACCCTAGATCATTCACACTGTACATTAAGGAAAAGAAAGCTTAGATCTCAGCATCAAATACAAGCTACTGACATCAGTATCCCTGTGAACAGAGTTTTTAATACAAAAAAACATATTTTAATAAACCCTGAATCATCTGTAGTATCATACATTAACACATACCAAATATCCATGCCACAAAACTGCAATGCATTTCTGAAAACAAGTGGTCCTCAATTATGCAATGACCCGTGCAGCTACTGATATCAGCACAGCACTTAGGTTTTACACCACAGAAATCTGACTTGAGTTCTCACAGTGGTTTCTAATGGTATCTAGTATTTTCAAACATGTATTAATTACTCTAATAACAACTTTAGAAATACAAGCTTTGTTCAATTGCTCATTAAGAGATTTGTTCAAGTTGGAGAATCCTGTGAATCTACAGGTGCATCCATGCTTGCTGGAAGTTTGATATGCACAAAGGAACCAAAATTCAAGTAAAATATTTAGATGCTTGAATTAAATATGCTCTGTTTTTTAGCCATCGGCTAAAGTTTAGAGCTTAGAATGCCACTAGACAATGTTTAAAATTATCAAATAGTTAATAGAAAGCTTTACATACAGTTTTCTGCCTGATTTTGTTGTAAAACAATCTAAAAGACAAAAGACTGGGCACAGTGAAATAAGTCAGTCTTAGAAAACATGACTGTTTAACTGACACTACAATAGGCAAACAAATTCAGAAAATAAAACAGCCCAAATTTTGTATTTTTTTCTGTAGCCAAACCTTTGAAGTTAGGATTACTTTATATAAAAGCACCAAAAGCAAACAAAATGAGAAAAAACAAACAAAGCAAATTGTGGACAGACCTACAATGCCTCTAACATTTTTGACACACTAAACACAGGAACTGAGGTGATAAGGTTGCCCCTGGGATTCTGCCTGCTGCTGCTCTCAAGGAGACAGATCTTAGGAGTGAAGGTCCCCAGAGCATCCTCACTGTTTTGTTCTGGGTTTTATGCATATACAGCAGAAGTGGGGTGGGAGGGCTTGCTGTTCAGTAGCAGCTTTAAGAGCACCATGCAGCATATAGAGTTAATATCTTCATTAGTCTTTCATTATATTATTTCTTCACTCAGTTAGTTACCATCGGACCCTCTCAAGGTGTACCTGTAGCTTCCATCACATCCTACCTGAACTCAGGTCTTTGAGGATTCTTAATAAATAGAGGCACACTATTAAAAAAAACCAACAAAGTGTTTCAAGATCCCAAATTCAGGCTCAGGGTACCAGCTTAAGACAACAGAATGAACAGTTAGACCTGAAAAGGCTATAACAAGTAGAGGATTTCCCTGGAAGGACAGAGCAACTGCACATGAAAAAGGGATATGACTTCAATTAATAGATGTGGGTACCTGGGTAGGATGTTATGATATTATTTAAATTCTTTCAAGGTTTATTCATTATAATAAACTGCAATAAGTATATGCTTCCTAAGAGGAAACCTGATACTTTGCATACAAATATTTACTTGACTAGTCATTTTTTGGTATTCTTAAAAAAACTTACATAGTGGGTTTCATTCTTACACCTTCTATTTAAAAATGTGTCTAACAAGTTTCATTTCCTCCACTTCTACAAATAGGTATCCAACTTACATATTTTAGGGTAAGCTGAGTATCCAACCTACCCTAAAATATTGTAATCTGGAACCAAAAATTAGCGAGCACTTCTGGATGTTTTCTTAAGTAACTTGTTGAAAATTACAGTGGTTGACAGTAACAACTGAGGGCAGACCCTAGGCTGTCAAACTCCCGTTCTTGTACAATGTCTGCCTTTGTTCTATCTTGAGAATTTCATTAGAATAAATGAACCCTGAGGTAAAGTGATGGGATCATTCATTCATGACATCACAGTTTAGATCATGGACATACAACAACATTCAGCTTTAAAAACTTCACTGCAAGATCAAGAAGGAAATCACTGGTCAGAAGGAAAAAAAAAATCCCTGTATTCACTCTACGTAGAAATTATGGGATAAAATGGAACGTTAAATGGGTCTGCTCTTCATAGTTTCATAGTAGTTTGGAGTCAGAAGGGACCTGAACCAGATCATCAAGTCTGACCCCCCCTGCCACTGGCAGGAGCACACGCTGGGATCACACGACCCCATACAGGTGTTTGTCCAACCTCTTTTTGAATTTACCCAAAGTAGGAGTGAGGACCACTTTCCTAGGAAGTTGGTTTCAGATCCTAGCCACCCTAACAGTGAAACAGTGCCTCCTAATCTCTAACCTGAACCTATTCTCCAGCAGCTTCTGGCCATTAGTTCTGAAATTTTCTTTACATGTTTTCTTCTTACAGGATAATGTTTGCTACTTGACAAAGGAATTGCTTTTCAGGTATGAAAAAAGCAAACAGGTTCATTCATATATGTTAAACACAGGACTAATATTTAATAAGTTGCACTCATTAAATAGATAAAGTGAAAGATATGGTATTAGCCATGACAATTTATTCAGTGATCTTGAAAGACTAATAAAAGTTCTATATACAACATATTTATGCAAATTTAAGTCAAACCTGAATTTAAGATGACCCCAATAATTAGATTATATACATGGTAAATTGATAAATTTGTTATAACTTTCCAGGTATAGAATCTAATTATCAGAGTGTTGTCTTAAATTTGCCCCCTCCCACTGCTATAGCACAGAAAATAGTGGCTGGGGGGATGTAGAGGGGAAGGGTCAGGGAGTCTATTTACCCTCTGCCCCACCCTGCTTTTCTTCCCCCTGCAGCTTTTCTGCCCCCGCCACTGGCACCCCAACCCCTTACAGGCCACAGAATTTCCCCTTCCTCCCGCTCCCCAAAA